TATCCAATTCCTCAGGTTTTATAAATTGGATTTCATTGGAGATAGCTTCTTCTGTATATTCAAATTTTTTACAAAGCTAGAGTTTTCACTAATCTTTTATTGTTTCTTCACGGTATTATAGTTTCGTGCAAACTAGTTCCTTTTGAACAACAAATGTCTAGGAAACTGTTTGGAAAATTATTGTTTTTCCAGGAGCACGTGGCCTAAGCATAAGAGTCTAATCAATTATATGTTGCAGATGTTCCAGGCTTTCACTGATGAATTTTCAGGAATATTAGTCTGAATCAAATGGATGCATTTGAATAGAATTGCAATCTACACTTGTTAATATCTTGGAAAATTTTCCACTTCTTCATCCTCATAACCATCATATGCCAACTGTTTGAGATCTGCTCAATGAATCTTGTTCCATCAGTTCATTCCTGTTCAATGCTAGATATGATGTTAACTTTAGCTTATTTAAGTCTTTTTATATAGCTATTAGCCATAGTACCTTTGTGTAGGAGTGTAAACGAGCTGAGTCGAGCTCCAGCCAAGCTCGAGCCACCGTAGCTGGAGCTTGAGCTTGATTAATAATTAAGTTTGAGATTGAGCTCGAGCTTAAATCTATGAGTTTGAACTAACTCATGAGCCAACTTGTTAGTATGAAAGAGAAAAAAATGTTAACTCAAGCTAGTGTTATAATAGAAAAAAATGTTAACTTATAAGTTGTTGAGCCAACTTATAAGAATGAGTTATTATGAGATAAATACAAGAAATTATTTGATATAAAATATTACATATCTTTTTTTAAAATATTTTTAATAATTTAAAGATATAGACTTGAATTTTAATATATTTTGTGTATAGTTTAAGTATATTTTATAGTGATATTTTTTTAAAACGAGCCACTTCACAAGCTAACAATTGATTTGGGGTTAGCTTGAGCTTGACTTGTTAGTTCACCGAGCTAGTTCACGAGCTACTTATTGAGCCAAGCCCAAGGTGGCTCACGATTTGGCTTAGCTCAGCTACACCCCAACCTTTCTTCAATACTCTCTCCTACAGTACTACTCAAGTTTCTGTGGCATCCAACTTAGCTTTTAGAGTCTTTTTTGCTTGCGAATACTGAGATAAGGATTGCAAGGCTGATTAGTTTACTTTCTTTTTCCATTCTTTGTATGATGAGTCATGTGTTGGGTGAAATTTGCCATTTATGCATCTCAGAAATATTTTAATTTTTGTACAGGGTGAAGTTCATCATGTTATAAATCCAGATCCATATCGAGGGGTTTTTGGCTCTGATTCTTCTTGTTATGCTAATGAAGTTTGCGATCATATTGCTTATGCTACTCCTGGAAAAGTTGCAGGATTTATTGCAGAAACATTTCAGGTCAACTTTTATTATTCAAAAGGCAAACATTTATGCTCTGGGACCATATTAAAAACCAATTATTTTTTTTTATTATAGTTTATTGTCTTTATTTTGTAGGGAGTTGGGGGTGCAGTAGAATTGGCTCCTGGATACCTAAAATTAACGTATGATATTGTTCGTCAAGCTGGTGGTGTTTGCATAGCTGATGAGGTTCAAAGTGGCTTTGGTCGCACCGGAAACCATTATTGGGGCTTTCAGACGCAAGATGTTGTCCCAGATATTGTCACCATGGCAAAGGTCTCTTATTTGTGCAAACATCAATAAGTTCCTTTTTCAAAATGTTCCAAAATTCATTATTGCATCGCAATCTCTGTCATTTATTTCACTATTATATAACACGACTTGAAGTTCTAACATCGCATAACTGTTCATTTGTTGAAATTGCAGGGTATTGGTAACGGCTTACCGCTGGGAGCAGTAGTCACAACTCCTGAAATAGCTCAAGTGATGGCTCAAAGGATACAGTTCAACACATTTGGTGGGAATCCTGTGTGTTCTGTCGGCGGGCATGCAGTGCTTAAGGTTCTTGATAAGGAGAATCGTCAAACACATTGTGCCGATGTCGGGTCTCACTTGATTGGACGATTGAAAGAGCTTCAACAAAAGCATGAAAGTTAGTTTTTATTATTATTTTTTTTTAACCTAGAATTTTCTTATTATACACCATTAATCAACCTATGTTGAATTTTTGGAGTTCTCCCTATGCAGTTATTGGACATGTGAGAGGCAGGGGACTAATGCTAGGTGTGGAACTTGTCACTGATAGAAAAGACAAAACTCCTGCCAAAGCAGAGACTTTGATGTTATTTGAGAAGCTTAAAGGTAGTGTTGTTTGAATTTTTATCCTCTATTAGCGTTTGTCTTATGCTAAAAGATCTACTGAACTTCTTAGATCTGGGAGTTCTGGTTGGGAAAGGAGGTCTTCATGGGAATGTTTTCCGAATAAAGCCACCAATGCGCTTCACCAAAGAGGATGCAGGTTCCACTTAATCATTATTTTCATATCAATCAGATTTAATATCAGTTCATCATTCCTTGTTCCAATTTTCTTAAATAAAAAAATTGTTTTTTGGTTTGCAGATTTTCTGGCAGATGCATTGGACTATGCCATCTCTACTATGTGAATGTGTGTTCTGTTCCTTGAACTAGAAATAATAGAGCTTCAACACCGGCTAAAGAGTTCTGTGAGCAAGCGTAATGTAATTTCTTCTTTGCTTCCTCTATGATGTTGAAATGTTTTGTTTGTCTAAGAAGTTGAGAAATTTTGAGGAAGATTCAGATGGCAAGATTGTGAATTAAATAAAAAATTAAGGTATTGGAATTCAGTCTCTTGTTTGTATGATTAGTTTACTGTTATATTAATGAAGTTCTGATTGACATGATACATGTTACCATATGTTACCAGCTCTCAATTATCAGTTATAAACTGCTCTCGCTATTTGTAACACTTGATGTCTGAATGAATTGACTGTTCCAACACTTTTTAGTCTGTGAAACTGTGGTGTTTGAATCTGTGTACCATTGCGTTTAACTTTCTTAGTTTAGATTAACAAGTCTTAGCAAAATGTTTTGCAGGGTTACCAAACACAATTCTGTAGAAAACTAGAAATTATATAGTTTCTCCTCTCTTATCTCGCTTGCCACGAAAGCTTCAGCTGAATTCATTTAGTTGTTGTTAGAAACTTATTTTTAGGCCCTGATTTAGAACTTGAGATGGTACAGAAAAATTTCGTATCTGTTCAAGATGAATTTTAAAGCTGCTTAGTATTTTTTAAGCTTAATCTTATATATAAAGAATGAATTAAAATTAAAATTAATGTATAATAATTTTGAAGTCAAACCTTTGAAGAAATTCACATGAAATTGATCATTAAAAAAACAACCAGAAATGCCTCTCGAGTAAAGGTGCAAGAGAAGAAATCTAGCCAAGCATCTCTTTTCTTACACAAACTTCCTTGAAAATGAAGCAAAATGACAGGAAAATGTTGTATGAAAAATGAAACAGCTTTTACACTGAAGCAAATGCTTTATATAGAAACATATACTGAGGTAGAATTTGCAAAGTATTTTTTACTACACCAGCCAGAAAAACCATACTCCAACTACAAGGGAATTAATTCTCTTGAACAGAGAATAGTACATCAATAGCCTAACTGCACATTGAATACTTAACTTTGAAGGTTTCAGAAGTGATGTATGTATGCTGGCTTAGGTCTTCACAAACTCAATCTGCTACATTAACGTTCAAACCAGTTCTTCCTGACATTTAGGCACAGTAAAGCAAATATTTAAGTTTTGAGAAACTTAGAAGAATCAATATCCAAGTTATTGTTCACCAGTGAGTGCAAGCTTACCATCAGGGCTGCTGAGAACAAAAAAGCAGGCCCCAATAATTATATAAGCGAGGAGAAAAGCTAGGCCTTGTAGGTAGTGTGAAGTTCCATCCTGTAAGATTTTGCATCTAAATGTTAAAAAAAAAAAAAAAATCAATTCTTTAACCAAGCTGGCAAACAAGCCAAATATTAAATAGCTGATTCTTGTTTGGTTTGGTCATTAGCTACTAAGATTAATAATGAGCTGCAAAATCTTATTCATGTTTGACTTGCTTATTCTAGAGTTGAACATCAGTAGAACACAAACTACAAATCAGAAAATGGAATATAAGACGAGCGACATTCCGTATCGGAATATATAAAAACAGGCACAGACAAAAATAAGAAAAGTGAGCATGGTTGAAAATGTATAATTGCATTACCTGCAAAGCAAATCCGGTTATCACAATTGAAAACACCAAAGAAGCTGTCTCCAATATTTTAAAATCAAGATTTGTTGGGACACCCATCATCCATGACACAATAACGCTAGATGGAACCTATATAATGTCTCTAAAACTATCAGCAAAAATGGGATGCTTTGTGAAGTAAACTTTAGTCTCACCACAAACATGGAAATCTGAGTTGCTGAACCCAAAGAGACTCCAAGACTTATATCCTGCATCAAACAAACGTCTGTTATTGTTGGCCTGCTATCTTAAATAACTTTTAACCAAACTTTGAAACTTTTGCATCGTAATGCAAGCCTACTAACTTGTTTTTCACAGCAAACGTGACAGCACCAGCATGCTCTGCAGCATTTCCCACAGTGGATAGTAAAACTATGCTGATGAAACGCATGGATGGTCGCCAAGATTCTGATGCATCCTAGAGGAAGGAGAAATTTCTTAATTAAGATTATAATCATGCAAAGGTTGGTTATGAATGTGATGTGGGAGAGGGAGCTGAGCTTACAAGTTCTACCCAAAAAATAAAAAAAGAAAGATTAAAACAAGGGCTCAAATTATATTTTCATGATTGCATAAACCAGTCGTGTCCATGAAATTGAAATCTCTACAGGGAAATAATTATGCTCAAAACTTATCTAATTAGAGTAAATGTTAAGGCGATGTTTTTTAACCACAATAACATGCACCACTGTTTTGGTCAGAAAGAACAGCATGCAGTAAGAAAACGTATTTAGAAATAAATCTTGAAAATTTTAATAGAGATATGAACGTGACAGAAAGGTGAAGACTAAGAATTCAAATTCACAAGGCAAAGAAAAGAGGACCACAAAAGAGCAATGAAGAAGCATTCACCTCAATGGTGCCAACAATAAATTCAGATAGAACTGCAATAACAATTGTAGCACCCAACAGGCAACCTTATCCTCAAACTCAGAATTATTATCAACATTATTTTCCTGAAGAACAGCAGAAAAGAGCAAATTCAATAGAATTACTTCCAGATTTCAAACTATCTGTTTGTATGGATGCTTCAACTCTCGTATTCAAAGAACTGCCAATGGGACTTACGTTGGAAGAAACTAAAGGCAATATAAACTGCAAGCATTACAATGCTCCACACTCTTAACAATTCCAGAGTTGGGACTGTCGAAATATAATGCTCACCATAGTTTACAGCCAATCGAAACATCAAAGGAAGCAAATTACACAGAGCACCCAGGAGCAATAGAGAAGTGTTCGCATCAGTTTGTTCCTGTAGAACACAACATATTATGAGGGGTTTATGAATATATGAACATAATTCTTTGGTAAAACTCGCGGAAGATTTAATGCTTACCACTCAATTCCTATGTATTTAAATATCTAACACTGAAACTTCACTTTTTACATATATATGCCACTTTATCTAAGCATGACAAACTGTATTTCACTTATTAAAAGTTAAAATAGTGGTATTTTTTATATGAAATGAAAGATTTGGATGATAAAAATGTAGGAAGTAAAGTTAGGCGTTGAATATATAAATACATAGGAATTGCGTGGTAGATATGTATGTAAATGGCCCAAAACTTAATCTGAAGTTCTCACAACATCCTCATCCAAATCATTCTAATAGTAGTGGAGTTAATGAGGGCCCTAAGGATAGTTAGAAAACTCAAACGCTCTGCAAGCGGAATAAAGCCGAACTCAAACACCCAAGCCTGCAATTAAATAATCTCAAGTTCTTACATGCCCATCCGGGAATGGGTATGAAGCCACGCATGTGACCGAATCCGAAGTACCGTGTAGCAATAGCGAGGGGTACAGCGGGGAAAGCAACGCAAGCTTCATCCTAGGAACACCTGTAAATTAACAAAGAAATCATGTAGAAAGTTGGATGTAACCCTAGAGGAGTCCCACTGGCGCAGGAGAGAGGAGGGCGGTGATGGTGAAGATGTCCATAGGCGCCGGTGGCATTGGAATGCACATTGTGGCTAACTCAAGTGAGGCCACTAATATCCTATCCATCTTTTTAAATCAAATTGAATTTTAACATTGCCTCATAAAATTTCTTTTTATTTAGCTTTTTGTCCTACTTAACGTCATTATCAAAATTTAGTCAAATCTAATCAATGAATGTATTTATATAAACACCTTCACTAACTCTAATCACAGTAAAAAGTCACTAAAAAATCTCCATATTTAAAAAAATAAAAGCTTTTAACAAATATACAAAGCAATATTCCCTCAGAATCCATCCAGATGGTTGTGGCCTGATGATCTCATGACATTGAAGGCTTTGACTTATCATTAGCAACCTTTGCTTTCAAATATGTTTCTCATAAGCATCATCCTAAGTTCTTCAAATTACTCATTCCATGATGAAACCATCACAAGGATAAATATTAGTTTTTCAAGTCATTGAAGCAACTTTCTTTTCGAGTTTTTTGGCGTAACGGAGAGCTTCAAGAGCCTCATCTTGTTTTCCAGCTCTCTTAAGATTAAAAGCACGGAGCTTAGTAGCCTTTATCTGCTCTTCAAGATGAGATTGATCAGAAACCTTTTCCTTGATTAACAGGGATTGTGGTTTCTCAGAAGTTTTAGAGGCCAGATCCTTATCATCCCATCCAATGGATTTAAGGGCAGCCATGAGCTGAGGATCAAGAAGATCCTCCACTGCATCGGTGCCTGCAACACTACTGCTAGAAGCATGAGGGCCAAGTACTTCTAGTTGGCTCTCAAGTTCTTTGGCCTTTTCAAACTCAGCCTCTGCTTCCTGTATCTTTCCTTCTCTTCGCAGTTTCAAAGCAGAGCGCTTATGCGAGAGGGATTCCTGCTGCAGCTTAAAACGGTCACGACTCGATATTGGTTTCTGTAAATGAGTTCTGCTGTTCTCTTGCACGGTTGAAGTGTGTCCAGAAGTAGAAACTAGAGCAGGTTTATCATCTGGACTGCTTTCCTGACTTTCTTCAATAGTCTTTTCCAAAAGTTTTGCTTTCCTTAGTTCCTCTTTGGCTTCCATCAACTTTCCTTCTCTCTTCAGAACTAGAGCATTTCTCTTATGAGAAAGGATCTCCTCTTTGTAACCATTGATCCCATCAGTTTTGCTCGTTTTACTATTGGTGTTTTCAACTTTATAAGAAACATTCTCACTATTACTGCTATTTTGTTTGCTGCTGACTCCAACATTTTGATCCAGTTCCGGAAAAACAGGAACAGCTGTCCTTGCCACTTCAATTCTAGAACTATAAGTTTCTGGTGATTGTATTTTAGATCCCAGCACAGAATGTGTTTCAGAAGGTTTTGTGGTGTCAGCTATAATACGTGCTTCCTACTGAACCAGAGATCCTGAACTTTGTGTTTCCAAGTCTGCCAAACGCTTTTCCAGATCCTTCGCCTTCTCCAACTCTTCTGCAGCTTCCTCAGTCTTCCCTTGGCGTCTCAAGGAAAGGGCCTTCCTTTTTATAGCTAATAATTCCCTCTGAATTTCTCCCTTGTTTCTCATCGACATCCAAGGCATGGTAGTGGGCACACTTTCATTCACAGAATGGCTGTTGGATGGTTTGGAGGTGAAATTTTTTCCGCTCAGCGAAACAGATTCATCATCAATCCACCCTAAATTCTTCAAAGCTGATAACATTGTAGGATCGTGCATATCTTGGTCAGTTACAACTGGTTCTGCACTATCCACTCCAAGATCAAGGGTCCCAATATCACTATCTTGGGCATGGGCCACGTGTTTCATGTCTAGTGCCATTACAGGTTTCTTTGAAGTATTCTCAAACTCTTCCAACTGCTGCTCAAGAAGCTTTCCCTTTTTCAGTTCCTCATCTGCCTCATCTACACGTCCTTCCCTTCTCAAAGTAAGTGCTTTCTTTTTCAAGACTAGTAACTCCTTCTGAATCACCATCTTACTTTTAGGTACATGGATTTGATTATCAAGAGTCTTCTGTGAAAATCCCGGTTCAGGCATTTGCGAGTCGGAAAGGTCCTGCTCAAGAAGCTTTGCCTTCTTAAGAAGAGCCATTGCTTCAGGAACATTTCCAGCCCGTTTCTGGCTAAGAGCCTCCTTCTTCAAATTAAGGATTTTGGCTTGAACCGCTTCTTGATTGAAAGGAACAGATTCTGATGCATTTTTTTGTTCATGATTATCATCTTCTTCAGACCAACCAAATGATTTCAAGGCATCACCAATCTCTGGATCATTCATATCATCCTCTGTCACCTCTAAATTGCCATCAATTGGGAGATCATCTGTGGCACTAAGAAAGTGTTCAAAGTTTGCACCAACATCAAAATCATTCTCTAGATCATCTTGATTTTCATCGCCCATATTCTTTATTAAAGTATAGAGCTCATCCTCGGAATCTGAAGCCTCCTCACCCAGAAGTTCTTTCTCTTCAAGTTGCTTTTCCAATATCTTAGCCTGCTTCAATTCCTCTTTAGCTTCAGCGAGCTTCCCTTCTCGTTTTAATAATAGAGCCTTCCTCTTGTGAGCAACAACCTGCCTATTATCAACGCCACTTTTTTTCCAATCAATTTCTGATTTCTGAAAAGTCTCTCCCATAAGATTTGAGAGTTCACCTTCCAAGCTAAGCTTGGCAGGCTTTTTGTCTGCTTCACGAAGTTCAGCATCAGACCATCCCAACTGCCTAAGCTCGGCGAATAGATCATCCTTCACCTCTTTATTCCTTAAGGACGCGCCTGTTTTCTCAGTGCCAACTGCTTCATTGTCATGCATACTATCTGTACTAACCCTGCTGCTGATTGAAACTTTTCCAGCCGCTCTTCGGTTTTTCCTTATTGCAATCTCAAGAGCACCAGCTTGCTTCTCTAATTCTTTTCCAAGTTTGAAAGCCTTGAGTGCTTCCTCAGCCTTGCCTTCTGCCTTCAGTGTCCTAAATCTTTTCTTCTCTTCCATTGCTTTCTGGCGTAAATCCTCTGGGCTGGTGGATTCACCATCAATGTGGACATCATTATGCCCTTCAATGGCAATACTCCGATCTTCTCCACCAGAGTTATCTGAAACCATACTCGAACTTGCATGTGAGGCACTACGAAAGACTCCCTGGGAATCCGAAAGCATGTGCGATTCTTTTCTGGAAGGCATCAAATGCTTCCCATTAGTTTCCAAAATCTCACCAAGAAGTTCATCCTCAGTCTTTAGTATCTGTTTTGAATTACCTGTGCCAAAAGCATATGATAAAAGACTTACCTAATGATCAAAAACATTATCTTTCAAAATTGCTCGAGTACCAACTGAATAAAATTCTCTATGTTATGGAAAAACTAATTCATAGATATGGGAAGCTGGTTAGTATTAATGGAATGTGAGTTAAATTTTATATGTATATAAAACAGTGCGTCACATTTATTGGGCAAACATATCAACCTACAATTAAGAGAAGCCAACCCTGCCATCAATCTACAAACCTCAATCCCTTTTATCCAATACTAAAGTGAGGACACAATTGATGGTTAAAAATAATCCTTCATTTTCACATATATTTGCAATGTACAGAAACTTTTACATTTTAATTATAGTTGAATAGGATTAATAAGGAGGAAGCCATGTGTGTTGTTGAAAAAACTAAGACGGACAGATGTTATCACTGTTATCAAACTGGATAACAATAGCATCAACTAGAAAATTCTGGTTGGAATGCTAGTTGCTTCGTACTTTCAGTTGTATTTACATCTTTCACTGATTTGTTGATGTCATACTTACAAGAAAAAAAGGGTCAATGTCATCATCTTTTATGCAAAAGGTAAATACTATCACTGTAGAAAGACTGTTTCTCGGGATGCAACTTGCATTATGATTGTTGCATAAACAAAAATGCATAATCTGTGAGTATGAAAAGCAAACACATTTTAGCGGTATATCATCATTTTATGCGTTGCTCCTAACATAAGATGATGACCATGAGATATCTTAGCGCTCCGAAGAAACACAGTTAAATATATTAGATTGCTTTTTATGGTTGGAAATAGTGCAATTAAATAGGTAATCATGCATAATAGCTTTTATAGAATCCACAAATTGTCTGCATACTAACACTAACGGTAGTTTTCAACTCTTTTGATATTACATATACTTCTAAAGCGTTGCATGCTTGTCCATATTTATTAATTCATGATGAAGAAACTACTAAAGATAATGTGAGCACAACTGGAAAGGTGTAACAGCTAAGGGATTAAGGAAAACTAGCCTTTTGTGGCCCGATTTTTATGCCCGTATCTCTGCTCAAATCGAGCAGCCTCCTCAAGCTTTTTACATGGATCGCATATCCTCACTGGAGAATCGCCTTGCCCACGTAAAACCATTCTTTGTTGGGTGCAGCTACTGCAAAATATGCCACCACATCTGCGGCAGTGATGCTGGTACACAAAAAATTATAATGCATGAATTCAAAAGAACTAAAAGCTTAAAACCAAAGAGTCAATACATATGTATGAAGTCGCAAAAAAAAAAAAAAAAAAAAAAAAAAAAAAAAAAAAGGTCTATGACATGGCTGTGTGAAGTTGTGAATCTTTAATGAAAAGGCTAAATTATTTTTTAACACAAAGAAAAGACAAAAAGGCACATAAGAAAAATAAAAAAATAATAATTTTTTTTAGAAAAATAGATTTAACAACACAGAAGAACAAACAGAAAAACCAAAATGGCAAAGAATCTTATGGTCTGCTCTGAGCAATTAATATAATTTTAAAAATGACGATGATGGCTGAAATGTTTACATGATCTTTTGTTAAAAAACTACTATCCAATACATCAGAACTCTAATATTAATGAAGGTTCCATTTTCCAAAGCCACAGTTATGGACTAATGCATCCATGTTTTAGCTTCATTAAAAAAAGAGAAATGAAGAGGAATCTGGAGTAGGTTAGAAGGAAGACATTTTTATATGCAGATGATGCTAATGCATACAAGACCGTCATGAGCATGCACTAATGAGGCTAGAAGTTGTAGGAATGGACACTCAACTAGGGTTGATACTGAGTGAGGCATATAATAGAAAGGAATAAGAAATATTTATAAATCCATTCCAAAAAATTGGGATAAGACTACTGCTACGCTACTACTGATGAGGATGGGAGTGACTTTCGTAAAAACTAAAGTTTTCAAATGAAAAACTATCCAATACACCAGGACCATCTTTTATATTGGCAACGACTCATTGCAATTATCAAAAGCTTGGTTGCACTCTTAAGCTTCATGTTTTTTAATAGAGATGTGCACAGTTGCAGATAAATTAGACATGCATATGTTAACACACAGAACTTTTTAACCATAAGTGAAAGATAAAAGAAACTCATTTTATGTCTGAAAAAAAGAAGGAAAGAAAGAAAGTGCTACAAACAGACTAAGAAAACATCAACCAGAAAGAGAAAAAAATACTAACGAAAGTTTGCCACTAAAGATAGAGGTCACAAAGCTCTTTCTCCTTCCATACATATTTAATTAAAAAAAAAATTATTTAAATTTAGCCCAACAAATAAACTTATAAAAAAGAATCATTCCAGTTTGCTGAGTTAAACAAAGAGAGACAACAGTACCTTTCTATTAAAAAAGGTGAACTGAGAAGAACAACCCTGACAATGAGATGCATCAATCACCCAATTTGCTCCTCGCATTGATGGCTTTGGAGGCAAGCCAATTTTTTCCAACATCGTCCCAATTTACTTGTAAGAACCCAACGTCAAAGTTAATGGGATAAAGGAAAAAGAATTCTTTTTCAAAAATTTGTCAAAAGAGCTATTTTTCCTCTATCTTCTCACGCTTCTCAATAGTCCACTGCACTAAGAATCCAAAAAAATGTTTCTTCCCGAGCACTGCAAAATGAAGTGAGTTCAAGGACAAGTAATTCCTACACACCAATACATTATATCTAAATAAAGCAGCATAAAAATTTGTGCTTCTGATGGTAAATGTTTACAAGTAAAGCAACGAGAATGCCGAACAAAACTGAATAAGTGTTCATCCCTCATAAATTATAATACAAGTCATTGGTTGTGGGCGAAATAATCATTTCAAGATAAGATTGGTCATCTGTTATGATTAATGTTTTCGAGTGTTTCCATCCTTTGATGAGCTGGTCTTTGCCTCAAAACTTTATAGCAAAGTAATGCGACAGCAGATAGTGAAGTAATTGTAATGGTTTAGATGATTGTTTATGAAGCTTCAGAATGGTACCATATAACAGTCAATCTTCAGATGAAATCAAGCTGTGAGAATGAAATGTTCAAATTCAACAACATTCTTCAGGCTCATCTTCTACAACAATCGCCAAAAATCTCCACTAATAGGCTCTATCATAAATTACATAGCATATGCAGTGGTGTGTACACAAACTCATTCTTTACTTGGATAAAGCAATCAATGGAAAGGGAAACACCAAAGATAATTGTATACAAAATCAAAATATGGAACGGGAATGAAATAGCATAATCATATCTGGAAATCAAGATAGACTTCACTAAATGGTTTTAACGCTGATATTTTTAGAAAGTTCAATCAAGATACAGGGTTTTACTCGATGCCCTAAAACAGTCAACCATATCAACAAAACCGACTCAATAATAAAAAAAATTATAGTAAAAAACTCTATTTCTAATTGAAAACTTTTCAAAGGACAATAAAAAATGCAAAGTTGAATGAATGCACGTTCGGAGCAAGGGTTAGCCTTGTGCGTGGAATAAGGCGGCGATTGGGATGCAGCAGCAAAAGCATCAAAGCGCAAGAGACATGATCACTCTGAAGATGTCCCGTGACGTTCATCAGAAATAGGACTGTTAGGCAACAAGAAAAACGACGGAGGAAAAACGAATATAAATCACAAGAAGAAGGCGAGGGAATCACCTGGACTCAGGATAGTTGAAGGAAACAGCGTCGAACGTCGTAACTGATTTAATCAGGGAGGGAAGCGGAAGGGCCGATCGCCGATCTGCGATTTGCGATAGGGCTGCAGAGAGTCTTAGGTAATTGCTGACGAAAACGACGACTCCGCGGAGTTAAGAAAGAGTTCTTGCGATAGTAGGCAAGGTGGGTTTAGCAGAAAGTTCAAAGCTCTATGTCGCGAGAACTATTTAGGGGTTATATTGGTGTTATATCTCTTATAGTGTATTGAGGAGTTATATTGGTGTTATAACTCTTGTAATATTTCTGTAATCTAATTATAAACCTCAATACTCTCAGGATATCCTTCGATGTACGTAGCTCTGCAAACGTCATACGTACACAAAATTTTCTCCTATGTCACAGAGCTATGGTGTAGGCTGCTCACCTTGATAAGTGGTATTTACTCTCTGCCAAATATATGGACTCTCTATAGTCCAATGAGACTCAGTAAAATAAATTCGTAACGAGGACGCCACGCGATTTGGTGGAGGAAAGTGTCACGGATAAAAGGTCTCACATCGGCTAAATATAGGGTCAAAGAGCAGTATATAAGTCATGGATTGTCCACCTCTCTGAAGTGCACTACACCTAGCCAATGTGAGACTTTTTTGTCCGTGACATTTAGCTCATTAGATTATTTGTTTTCTTGTGTTTACATATCTAATTTGATATTTATTTTTATAAGACACTGATGTCCATAAACAAAAAGATGTATTTTATCTTTAAAATGATATTTATTGTTATATTTTTGATGTGATGTTTAGAATTTGAATGTTAAACATATCTAAATATGAATATTTAAGCGTTAGATATGTACATAAATAAGACTAGCGTGGCATGCATGTAAATGCACCAAAATAATATTTTAGGAAAATAAATTTGTATTTATATATAAAATTTGAATTCTTTATATTGAGACCGGAGAGAAATAGAGTTAAGGATTGTGAATTTGAAATTAGCATTAGCATCATAATTGTATTTACTTGGATTATAAATCTAAAAAACACATGTCCAATTAATTTAAAAATAATAATAATAAATAAACAGTAGATTATTTAAATGGCCAAGATTTATGTGTATTTTTTTTATTAGCCATAAAATCTATTGAACAGAAACTTGATTTTATACGCCACATAAACTATAGAAATTGGTCGAATATCTCCACAATTTATTTCTTAATGAAATATCATGAAACATATGAAGTAAAATTTTTCTATGTTCAAATAAATTTAAAATATTAATGTGATCAAAATTGAAGAAGTTTTAGTATTTTATAGCGTATTAATTTAAAACTATTTTAATGTGGATATAAAAAAAAAAGGTTATTAACCAACAAAAAATATATTGAACGGTAAAATTCTAAACAGTCTAAAGCAATGAATTTAAACGAATGCCGCATTTTTAAATTTTTTTATTGGAAAATTTACACACAGACCACAAAATTCTCATGTATTTGCATATATAAAACCTAGACTTTTACAAAACTTTGGTGTCATTAACCTATGCATGAAAAGATGAATTTTACTTTTAAAAAGAAAGTAGTAGTGCTATTTTTGACATAATGTTAAATCGGAGTACCATGTTTGTAAATGTGAGAGTTTAGATGTTAGATTTATAAATACATAAGAATTAGGTGGTATGTATGCAAATGCCCCTATTTTATGGTATATTTAAATTAATTTTAATTTAAAACGGAATAATAAATTGACGATGGTGTTGAGAAATTAGGGCGAAGAAAAATAGGAATCAACACAAATCCAGAAGAACACACGGAGATTTAATGAGGTTCGACAAAGATGCCTACGTTCTCGGGAGCAGAGCAGCGGCTTTTCCACTAATCCAGAAAAAGAGTACATAATACAGAATGGAATAACCTAGGGTTACAAACAGACCTATTTATAATCCTAGAAATAGCAGAAAATAAACCTTGATTACAATATATAATTACCAAATTACCCTTGTATCGCACCCCCAACCCCCATAAGGAAACTCCTCTGATTTGGACAAAATTTTCTGCTCCGCTCCGCTCCTCTCCAGCATCTGTCCTTTATATGGTATATGAGTCATACCTAACAAATCTCCACCTTGACAAATATTCAGCCCCTTAGGAGAAATACATAATGAAGTTTCTTACATACTAGAAGTAAGTTGGGTCACCATGCTTCTCTAGCAACTGCAAACACTCAACAAGTGCAAGCAATGAAAGAACTTTTTGATAGTAACTGACTTGGTCAACATATAAGCTGCATTCTCATCAGTATGAACCTTCTGCAATAGTATCTCACCAGAAGCAATCAATTCTCTGATCTTGTGTTACCTGACATTAATGTGCTTGGTTCTCGCATGGGACACCTGGTTCTTAGCCAGATAAATAGCACTCTGACTGTCACAATGCAACTGAACGCCACCTTGCTCAACGCTCAGTTCCTTTACTAGCTCAGCAAGCCATAAGGCTTCTTTTGCAGCTTCAGCTACTACCATGAACTTAGCTTCAATTGTAGATAATGCCACAATATACTGAATTGTTGATTTCCAACATATAGGCCCTCCACCAAGAATAAAAACATACCCAATTGTAGACCTTCTGCTATCCAAATCACCTGCATAGTCTAAATCACCGTACGTCACGACTGAAGGATCATTCTGCTGACTGTCAAAAATAATTTCATGTCCTATAGTACCATTTAAATACCTGAAAATCTACTTGACTGCTTCTCAATGTCGCCTTCAAGGTTTAGCCATTTATTTGCAAACTTGACTAACAACATGAGTCAAATCAGAATGAGTACATACTATTGCATACATCAAACAACCAACTGCACTGACATATTGAACATTTGTCATTTCTTCAATTTCTGTATCTGTCTTAGGACACTGTTTTGAAGAAAACTTAAAATGATTTGCCAAAGGAGTGCTTACAGACTTAGTTTTGCTCATCTCAAATCTGTCCAACACTTTCTCAACATAGTCTCGTTGAGATAAACATAATCATCTTGAGCCTCTGTCTCAATGAATTTTCATTCCAAGAATCTTCTTCGTAGGACCCAAGTCTTTCATGTCAAATTTCTAGCTCAATAAAGCTTTCAAACCACGGACTTCATTCATATTCTTTGCAGCAATCAGTATATCATCAACATACAACGACAGAAAAATAATAGAACGATCATCAAGGCTCTTCACATAAACACAACAATCATACTCACATAGGGCTGTAAACGAGCCCTTGTACCATGGTCTTGGAGACTGTTTCAACCCATATAACAATTTATTTAACCTGCAAACCAGATGCTCCTGTCCAGGTTGCGTGAACCCTTCTAGCTGCTTCATGTAAATATGCTCCTCCAAATCACCATGCAAGAACATGCAAGAAACCCGTTTTAATGTCGATCTGCTCCAAATGCAAATTCCAAATAGCTACTAATGCAAGTACTGCCCTGATTGAAGTATGTCTGACAACAGGAAAAAAAGATTTCATCATAATATATCCCCTTCTGTTGTAAAAATCTCTTTGCTACCAGTCGAGCCTTGAACTTTTCCCATTCTTTTTCTGATACTGCTGGTTTTCTTTTGTAGACCCATTTGCACCCAATGACCTTCTTTCCCTCTGAAAGCTGAACTAGCTCCCAAGTGTGGTTTTTCTGCAAAGACTTCATCTCCTCAACCATTGCACCCATCCATTTTTCTTTCTCCTGGCTAGTGACAGCTCCTTGAAAAGTGGCTGAATCATCGCTGCTGATGAGAAGTGCACATGAGACTAAGTCTTCATAAGTTCTTATAACCCAATCTGCTATGAGGTCTTATATTAGTGCATCTCTGTCTGTCTCTGGATAGATTATAATTTTGCAGATCATCTGGAATGAAACCACCAAGTATTGGATTTGAACCTTCAACTTTCTCAGTTGTTTCTGAATGTTGTTCTAAATTCATCTGCACTGCATCTGAACTGAAACTGTTGCCTTGCACATTGTTTTGATTCTGCTGCAACATGATCTGTTCATAAAAAAACTGCATCTCTGCTGATCACTATCTTCTTTGCAATCAGATCCCAAAACTTTTATTCTTTCACACATTTCTTATACCCCAGAAAGATGCACTTCTTGAATTTTACATCAAGTTTTGATTTTTCATCTCCAAGTACATGCACATAAGCAGGAAATCCAAAAATCCGTAAATGATCAAATTTAACTGGATTACCTGACCATACATCTTCTGCGACCTTGCCACCCAATGATGCTTGAGGTGATCTATTGATGAGATAGCATGCCATATTCATTGCCTCTACTTAGAAACTCTTATCTTCATTAAATCTCAAGCATCTTGCCCGTTCAGTTAAGGACTTGTTCATCCTTTCTGCCACACTATTCTGCTGTGGTGTCTTGCGCACTGAAAAATGTCTCTGAATCTTATGCTTCTCACAGAACTTTTGAAATTGCTAATCTGTGTACTCTGTGTCATTATCGGACCTCAAATACTTGATCTTTCTGTCAGTTTGGTTCTCTACCTCAGCTTTCCACAGCTTAAATTTAGAGAGTACTTCTGATTTCTGTTTCAAGAAATACACCCAAACGTTCCTGGATAAATCATCAATAAAGGTAACAAAATACTGAGATCCTCCCAATGACGATTCCCTAGTAGGGCCCCATACATCAGAATGCACATAATTAAGAATCCCTTCAGTTTCATGTTTTCAGTCATAAAATTAACTTTAGTCTGTTTTCCAAGAACACAGAACTTACAAAGATCGAACTTGCATCTTTTAACACCATGACAGATTTCTTCTATGCAATTCTGTCATCCCACGTTCACTGAGATGACCAAGACGCATATGACATAGCTTTGTACTATCATCATCTGACTCCGTAGAATAAACTCCACATACAACTATACTCTCCAACAGTTTGTAGATATTGTCTGCAGTTAACTTTCCTTTCATCATTGTCAGTGCAGCCTTAACAATTCTGACGGTTTCTCTATCATCATATGCCTTATGAATAAAATCATTTATGTGTAGAGTGTCCAAGGAAATCAAATTCTTCTTTAGATCTGAAATATGTCTGACATCACATAATGTTCTAATTGTGTCATCATAAATCTTAATTCTAACTTCTCCAATACCAACAATATTGCAACATCTATCATCACCTAAAGAAACT